TTAGGCTACAAGCAGATGAACGTTATCACGACAACCTGAATTCGAATATGAAAAACTTTGATGTCATCGTCCTCCAGAACCCAAATAGTGAGCGTACAAGAAGTAACCGATGTCAACTTCCTTCTTACATGTGTTAACATTAGCCTACATGTGTTAACATTAGGTATAAAAAGTTTCCGCGTCGCCGGTCAAAATAATGAAAAAACCCTAAGTTTAAGGCCGACCATCTTTACGGCTCTTTTAAGAAACACATGCAACCTTAGAAGACCTGCAGATGGCAACTTCCAATTTCACCTGCGCTTTTTTTTCAAATTTTGTCAATTTTGCATATCAGCTGCTCCGATTGCGTTTCTTCTTGCTGAAAAAAACGTCTGAACAAACACATCAGCAGAAAATTGACTTCGGTCAACTTTATTTGCTGAATACATTTGAAACATCTTATGTACCAATTTAAAAATCCAACTTGGTTCTTTCTACTTACTACGCCCAAATTTTTTAATACAATTGAATTATGTAATGTACCAGGTTAAAATGCCAGCTTGGTTTTTTTAACAACTTCCGCCACGTATTCAATGAAGAATTGCAGAGAAAAACAATGATTGCAATGATCGCTTTGGTTAATACATAGTTGATTACTTTTTTCTTAGCCGATTTCTGTTAAGGCCAAACTTTGAGCAGATGCAGATGTGAAGACAGTCAATTGTTTTGAAGCTATTATCCGTTTTTTTTCAAGTCTGGGTAAAACTCTGCAGCTGATTCGAAAAATCAAATGGTTTTCAAAACCTGCCATAATTTTTGGCCCATTTTGTTTGTTTAGAAATCATCTTACTGTTTGCCTTCAAATTCATCTGTTGTGAGCAAAATTGTTTTGCTCAGTTTCTAGTTTAATCTCAATTAAAATGTTTAAATTAAAAATTTCTAAAATTTAGGGTGTGGTAGATCTATGTTAAGACAGTGCTGGACCTATGTTTTGAGTTTTTCGACCAACAAGGTTATGTTTCGACTGTGCTTGACCTATGTTTCGGCTTTCTCGACTATCAAATAACATGATCAAAATGTTAAAAAATTATGATATATGATTTTTGATAAGATGCTCGAATTGAAAATGAACTATAAAAATGAGTAAATCTGGAAATTCCACCATAAAAAATCAGTTTTTCATAAATTGATTCTTCCCATTTAGCTTTTATTTTCTTTAAAAATCTGGACCTTGCTGATCCACGGTTAATAATTATGCGGTAAATAAATCTCCTCAAATGACTGTTGTTGATTGCAAGTTTCTGACAAAGGTCTCCTCCGAGTAGTTTTTTTTGCTCAGTTTCGAATGTAAAGTTAAGTGAAGTCTTCTAAAAACAAATCTTTTGAAAAAAAAGGATGCTTCAACTGTGCTCGACTTATGTCTCGGTTTTCTCGATCGTAATCGGGTATGATTTGACTATGTGCTTGACTTAAATCTGCTTCACGACCGCTGAGTTTCTGTCCAAAAACTGCACCCTCTAGTCTTTCAAAGTCAAAACGTGAGTCGAGAATGTCGACTCGGGAAATGGGACGAAGTTGCAACTTCCCAATTCCCAAGACTTTACAAAAACTGATTACAAGTGAAAGTTTGTTGAACCTTGAGCGTAAGCTATAACTTTCAGATCCTACAAAAATTACTGAGCAAAAAAGTCGAAATTTGACCAAATAAAAAAAATTTGGAACACTTGTAGTCCTTGGACATGTTCATCGTTCAAAAAAGCACAATAAGAATGCAAGAAGGTAGGCCAAATCACAATGACGAGAGAAGAAAGTAGGCGATGTATATTTTTTTAAAGTCATGTCAAATTACTTTGAAAATGCACGCTCAGCTCATCACAAGGAAATTTTTGAATTCTACTGATCAGTTATTGATTGATCCCACCACAGTAGTGAAAAAGAACTAGCAAGTATGCTTTGTGGAAAAACGGCTTATGATTGAGTGTTTTACTTGGTTTTTTGTGTGAAATTTGTTATGTTCAAATCGACCAAAAAAAATGGGGAGGAATTTTGCATTCGGGTTTGTTTTAGTTTTTTTCCCACGCAAAATCAGGTACCACAAATAATCATCGGAGTGGGTTGAGTGATATATCGTATTAGAACCCTTTCGTCTCATAAAATTTGTCTCATAAAGGATACTTTTATATTCTAGGGCTAGTAAATTGACGCGGAGATTTCGATTATATGAACCGAGGTGATTATTGATTCAAAAGATCTTGTTTAACTAGTTGTTGTCCTAAAAAAATAATGCGGTCTGATAATGCTCGCTCAATGCAAGTGTAATTATCTACAATCACAATCAAGGGTTTTTCATGCCATTTGACTCATGTCGGTAGACATCATGTTTTGACTTTCCAGCAAATGAATATGAAAAAAAAGAAGATTAAAAAACAAGTGCAAAGAAGAAACACATTAAACGGACCTAAAACATAGTCAACAGACAGTTGGAAAATCGTCATCAACGCAAGGAAAGAGAAAAAAAAAACTGAAATTTCTTTGAAAAAAGTTCTACGTTCGAAACTTAAACAGCAATTGCACGTCTTTAAAGTTCTTTGAATTTTAGAAATAAATTACGTTTGTCAATAACGCAAAGAAAGAGAAAAAGACTGATTTTTTTTTTGAAAAAAGTTCAATTTTTGAAACTCAAACTGAAATGGTACGTCTTTAAAGCTCTTACAATTTTAAACTGAATCAATAGGTAAAAATTTTTATTCTGCTAGAAAATCTAGAAGTTACGTTTCACTATCAAAATTAACGAAAAATCAATTTTCAGCGTGAAAATTTTTTTAGGAATTTAGGGCTAAGATCTATTCACGAGAATTCATTACGTTCAAGACTCTTTGAAAACAAAACAAAATTCAATCTTGTACGCTTGAATAATTTTTCATTGACTGCTTGAGACTGGAGCCTATTTCTGCTAAGAGCGTATCAAATTGAGGTCTTAGTTTAGGAATCGAGATATTGATTCGTTTTGTTTGACTTGTACCTTGCTGTTGATATTAAAAGCATATCTTTGTTGGTGGATTTTTCATTTCGTTAAATAAGTTATTAGATTTTAAATTGTTGTTCCGAATTCGGAGATATTGTGATTTGGGGCATCTCTGTATTCAAGACTTATTTTTTAAACGTTTTTGACGGAATTTGCATAACATCTGCAAATAATTTAAAAAAATTCAAATATTTCAGATATATACAACTTTTCCTCTTGATCATTTTTTGTGAAGGAATGAGCATTGATAAATTGCTAATTTGTGACAATTAATTCGCAATTTTCACCAGCTGCCAGTTTGCCATTAAGCGTAGCGTTTCCGATGATAAAATAAGTCTTAGCTGAATTGAGAATTAAGTCTTAAAAACTGTCAACACCTCTCAATCTGGTTTTTGAAAATCTGATAATTCATTTTCTTCAAATACTTTAAAATGAAGTCGGAATGTTGATGATTTTGTCTTGAAAAGAGCAGTCTGATTGCTTCAAATTTTGAAGCAGAGGCGAAGCTGCGCTTCGCAAACACTAGCGAGAACAAAAGCTGCTCTATTAAATAGGTAGAAATAAGCCTCGAATTAGTAAAAAGCGCTAAAACGTTGGCTAATAAAAAGAAAGAGTAGGATGAAAATGCTTGGCGTCGTTTTTTATTCAGTCACTTTCGACTTTTAAACACAAACGAAGCTGTGCGTTGGAAGCACCAGCGAGAAAAAGACAAAAAAGCAGCTCTTCAAAATGAAATAAGAAAAAGTAGAAATAAGCTTCGACTGGTAAACATTTTAGGTGTATCTTTCAAACCTGTAACCTCGATGTTTAAGGGCCACGCCTTTCCCTCTCAGTCACAGATGCTTACCGATCGGCAAACACTAGCCTCAAATAAGGCAGAGAAAATATGCTACAAAATTTTTAAGGCTACAGATCGTGCTCATAAGAAAAGTGCCCCCACAAATGAACACATTTTTAGTGTAGCTAGGTTGAAAAGTGCACTCATAAGAATAAACTACGCTCGCTACTGTAATTTAGTGTTTGGGAGAGTAATTTTGTTTTTCAAATTATCGATAAGAGGTTGTCTGTGGCACATGAAAAAAATCCATGTGATTAATGTTTCGTTATGCCATGGTGGTTTAAAAATTGGTAATTTGGAACAACTAACGAACTATACTTTCCGTTATATCACAAGTAAGCTACAAACTATTCCGCTCTAAATTGAACACAGAGGCGAAACTGCGCTTCGCAAACACTAAAAAAGCAGCTTTATAAAATGAAAAAAAAAAATAGAATCAACCTCGAATTAGTAAATTTTTGATACGTATCGGATTCAAACCTGCGACCTCGAGATTAAGAGTCTCTCGTAAAGTCCGCTCGGGCACAAATCCTTAACAACCGACAACAACTAGTCACGAATAAAGCAGCTACATAAGCTTTTAAATTGCCAATTCAATGCAGCAAAAGTGGCACCAAATACAAATGGACAAAACTTGGCATGTAATCTTTCGGAATATAACAAACTGAAGGCATCCAAGCTATCTTTGGAGCTAATAACTTCCAAAGCTTAAGGCCCAGTTATCTATAAAGTAAGCATTTCAATATTGTGAGATACATCATTCTGATATTCGAAGCAAATAGCTTTTTTTCGGTTCATACGAACAAGGAGATATGCATCAATTGTGTGAACTTATTACTAATCGAATACCGGAGCACATGCTATCAAAAAGCTCTAAATAAGCATCAAAAAGGGCACCAATATAAGCAACTAAGTTTGAAAAAAAATAGTCGTATATCACTACCCTAATTTTATCAACTTTCGATCATTTTATCAACAAAAAACGTTCTTTTTTACCTTAATGTCCAGTTGGAACATCCACCCTGTTATATGAGGAACCTTGTTTCACTTTGTATTCAGTCGACAATTTTTTGAGATGATAATTGTGGTTCATTTTTTCCAACTTGCTTAGGAACCGGCTATCCTTACGTCGTCCTTATAGTTGAGTTTAAGAAGAAAAAGAGCAGGACAAATGAATTCACCTGAAAACCTCATCACGTTTACAATCAAGCTGAAAAGCCACGCGCATAATGATTAAAAAGATAAAAAGATAGTTGTTCTCCTTTCATTTACTCTTCATTATTCCTTCCATTCCGACATTCAAACATTCGCTTCCTGTCATTCCTGGTGTTTTAAATGACATAACAACACAGCCAATCTGCCGGATGAGTCCATTCTGAAACAATGTTAATTTCGCTTGAATTTTACGCAATGGCTAACAACCAAAAGATCATCATCAACATTATTTGAATTAAAAGTTGCAGAATTCAACAAGGATATTCGATCTAAAAACGATTCCATCCATTGATTCACTGCAAACCTCGTAATTTAACATGTGCCACAACAATGCATCTTATAATGACTTATAAAACATTCAATCAAAAACAAAATAAAATTATTCAATTAAAGCATAATTTATTCATTTTCGTGTTATTATTGACGATTCTAAAAATTGATTTTATCAGTTAGCCCTTATAGACCAATAAAAGTTGTATTTTTCGGTTTTTCTGCACTTGGACCATTCTGCTTATTGCTCCGCCTCCAGATCGGCCGTATTAATTTTGTACGACTCAAGATTTCACATTTTGATATTGTCCAAAGTTAATAGGTTTTCAATATTTTCTTTTCCCAAAAACTATTCGATATGAATTAAGGGACAGTCGGAACATTCAGGGCTTTACCCTGCTTTATGAGCAGTCTTGTTCAATGTTTTAAGTAAGTTCCCGTAATAATTGTAGCGCCTGTTTTTATTGCGTATGAGAGCATCAGCAGCTATTTTGACCTTTTAGGTACCAATTGGTTGTCTCCAGGTCTTGCTTTCATAACACTTCGAAGAAGTCTTGGCTGTGTCTGGTGTTCATGGTCTTGTTCACATCCAACAGCTGCCTCTGAGTCAGGGGAAAATCTCTCCTCTCAAAACTCGAAAACTCCTCCTCTTCCTCCCTTCTGTTGTCCTTATCTCCTCCTCCTCCTCTTCTCGCAGCAGAGCTGAATGTTCCGAGCACGACTGCAGAGGAAGACGAAGGTTGATCAGCGTTGTTCGCTTTGCTCTGCTGCAGACCAGCTATCTTCACCCTTTCTTCTTGTTCGTACCTGAATAAGGCAAAGGGAACAGTTAACATGTTCAAATCAGAGTTCTCACCATCGAGCGGATGATTCAAACATTTAAACTAGTGCAAAAGGTAAAGTTCTCCAGCAGACAATGTGGGAATAATTCAATGACAAAAAAATCTACGGTATTGTTAGAGAAGCAACACTTAAATTGTGCGATCCATTTCAAATCATTTTAGAGAGCCCACTTAAAGAAGAACACTGTTTTTCAGACATGCACACAATCACCAACTACGACAAAGAGAAGTTTCGGATCTACTTAACAATTAACCCCTCTTTTAAGAAAGGGGGGGGGGGCAATTGTTAAGTAGAATAATATAACGCATTTTCGACCAATCAGATTGAAGCAAAAATAGAAGTCTCAATAGAAAGCTCTAGCGCTAATTTACTGCTTTTATTAATAGGGGTGGCAATTCTTAAGCAGATCCGAAGTTTCTGATGTTCAAGAAATTAAGTAAAGAATGCAGGATCGAAATTCACTTCGAAATACATGAACCGCTTGAGACCAGGGACTAGATCAAGACAGAAGATAAGCACAAGGCCTAGATAGTCTAGACCACGGTATAGGAGTACTACTTCCAGATATGAGTTAGTGTCAAAATTTTCACTATCATACCCAGATCAGTGTCGCGGGCATCAATTATGAGACCTAAATTAAGTTTGAAGACGAGCCATACTAACAATAGCATTGCTGAGAGCAAGAAAAGGCCCAAACTCAAGACGATGCTGCAGTCTGGAATGTGGTAGCTATTAAAATTTGAAGCATTGAATTATTACCTGGAATGCATCTGAGCGTAGTGTGGAGCACTCATGTCTTCTAGCCCCGCCATTTTCTGAGGCAGGGGTTCAAACCACTTAGTCCTCCACTGCGGAGTCTCGATCGTCTTGTACATCACCGGTTCGAAAAGAGGAAGCGAGTTCGACAAAGGAATCACAATTTCTTCTCGTGCATCCGAGGAGTCGCAGTTCACTGATCCCGTTTGTCCCGAGGTCTTCTTTGCCGATGACATCGAAGGTGTCTCTGAGCTCGAGCACGTCGATTGTTTGCTTAATTGTGACGTCGCAATTGCCGCGACAACTTTTCTTTCTGAATTGCCTGACTCAATACTTGTCCCGGATCCTTTTCGTTCTTTGACTCTTTCCTTATCTTTTTGCTTGAACTGCTTCTTATTTTGCTGTTGTTGTAATTTTTGTACCTTGGAAGGCGAAGGGTTCCAAGTCCTGGCTCCACTGGCTTCGTTTTCTGAGCTGGAATCGGATTCTGAGCCAGATGAGGATGATGACTCACTTAGGTCTGGCATGTAGGGCCTGTCTTTTTCATTCTCACTCAATCCCCATTCGGCTGCTGCTGTCACTTGGCTAAACGACAAAATTATTTTTTATTTCTCTCTGAAAATTAATTCTGCATAGATTGAACTTGAAATTGTTATTATGATGAGTGATAGAAACTGTTGAATGAGATATTACCGATCAGATATTCTTTTGTTTACAGGCTTCGAGAAGAGAAAGATCGAAGTCTCTGTATGACTGTATGATCGATCTTTTACACAAACCAACAATATACAAAAGTCAACTTTAAATTAAAGGCAGCTATCAAATCAGTATTTTGTCGACGGCCAACTTGAATTTACTATTTGGAACACAGGCGAAGTAGCGCTTTGCACTACTGACAATGAATTACAAACAAAAACCATCAGCGGATCAGAAAACAAAATGAAACAATCCAGCAGCGTAAAAACCCTCTCCCAAAATTAAACAATCCATCTCGCAAGAGCTCGCAAGTCAAAAAAAATTAAGAAACAAAGAAGCTAAAAAAACCAACGAATCTCGAAAAATGTCAAGGAAATTTAGAAAAAAGGTTTGATTGAACGAAGAAAAAAAAACTAGCTTTTTGAAATTGAAAAATCTTTTATGGTTCACATTTTTTCGAATAAAATATCCCAAAGAGAAAACTGGGTGAATAGTTTTTTTTTGTTCCACTGAGAAAACTACAAACTGAGCTTGATATTTAAATCATTTACGCCGTTACTCACCAATTCCACTTTACGATTTAGAAAGCGCAATTCTTCTTGCTTTTCGCTCGCAAAAGATGGCACGTGTATTTATTAAGAAATAAAGAAGCTCAAAAACCAACAAATTCCAAAAAAGAATCAAGGAAAAAACGTTAAATTTCTCGAAAAAAAAGTAATAGCTCTTTGAATTGAAAAATATTTCATGACTCACACTTTTTCGGATAAAATATCCCAAAAATAGAAAACTGGGCGAATATTTTTTTTAAATTCCACTGAGAAAACTACAAACTGAGCTACTCATTTAAATCATTTACACCGTTACTCACCGTTTTCACTTTACGAATTAGAAAGCGCAATTCTTCTTGCTTTTCGCTCGCAAAAGCTCGCACGTGTATTTATTAAGAAATAAAGAAGCTCAAAAACCAACAAATTCCAAAAAAGAATCAACGAAAAAAACGTTTAATTTCTCGAAAAAAAAAGCTCTTTGAATTGAAAAATCTTTCATGATTCATACTTTTTCGGATAAAATATCCCAAAAATAGAAAACTGGGCGAATAGTTTTTTTATTCCACTGAGAAAACTACAAACTGAGCTACTCATTTAAATCATTTACACCGTTACTCACCGTTTCCACTTTACGAATTAGAAAGCGCAATTCTTTTTGCTTTTCGCTCGCAAAAGATGGCACGTGTATTTATTAAGAAATAAAGAAGCTCAAAAACCAACAAATTCCAAAAAAGAATCAAGGAAAAAACGTTTAATTTCTCGAAAAAAAAGTAATAGCTCTTTGAATTGAAAAATCTTTCATGACTCACACTTTTTCGGATAAAATATCCCAAAAATAGAAAACTGGGCGAATAGTTTTTTTATTCCACTGAGAAAACTACAAACTGAGCTACTCATTTAAATCATTTACACCGTTACTCACCGTTTCCACTTTACGAATTAGAAAGCGCAATTCTTTTTGCTTTTCGCTCGCAAAAGATGGCACGTGTATTTATTAAGAAATAAAGAAGCTCAAAAACCAACAAATTCCAAAAAAGAATCAAGGAAAAAACGTTTAATTTCTCGAAAAAAAAGTAATAGCTCTTTGAATTGAAAAATCTTTCATGACTCACACTTTTTCGGATAAAATATCCCAAAAATAGAAAACTGGGCGAATATTTTTTTTAAATTCCACTGAGAAAACTACAAACTGAGCTACTCATTTAATTCATTTACACCGTTACTCACCGTTTTCACTTTACGAATAAGAAAGCGCAATTCTTCTTGCTTTTCGCTCGCAAAAGCTCGCACGTGTATTTATTAAGAAATAAAGAAGCTCAAAAACCAACAAATTCCAAAAAAGAATCAAGGAAAAAACGTTTAATTTCTCGAAAAAAAAGTAATAGCTCTTTGAATTGAAAAATCTTTCATGACTCACACTTTTTCGGATAAAATATCCCAAAAATAGAAAACTGGGCGAATATTTTTTTAAATTCCACTGAGAAAACTACAAACTGAGCTACTCATTTAAATCATTTACACCGTTACTCACCGTTTCCACTTTACGAATTAGAAAGCGCAATTCTTTTTACTTTTCGCTCGCAAAAGATGGCACGTGTATTTATTAAGAAATAAAGAAGCTCAAAAACCAACAAATTCCAAAAAAGAATCAAGGAAAAAACGTTTAATTTCTCGAAAAAAAAGTAATAGCTCTTTGAATTGAAAAATCTTTCATGACTCACACTTTTTCGGATAAAATATCCCAAAAATAGAAAACTGGGCGAATATTTTTTTTAAATTCCACTGAGAAAACTACAAACTGAGCTACTCATTTAAATCATTTACACCGTTACTCACCGTTTTCACTTTACGAATTAGAAAGCGCAATTCTTCTTGCTTTTCGCTCGCAAAAGCTCGCACGTGTATTTATTAAGAAATAAAGAAGCTCAAAAACCAACAAATTCCAAAAAAGAATCAACGAAAAAAACGTTTAATTTCTCGAAAAAAAAATAGCTCTTTGAATTGAAAAATCTTTCATGATTCATACTTTTTCGGATAAAATATCCCAAAAATAGAAAACTGGGCGAATAGTTTTTTTATTCCACTGAGAAAACTGCAAACTGAGCTACTCATTTAAATCATTTACACCGTTACTCACCGTTTCCACTTTACGAATTAGAAAGCGCAATTCTTTTTGCTTTTCGCTCGCAAAAGATGGCACGTGTATTTATTAAGAAATAAAGAAGCTCAAAAACCAATAAATTCCAAAAAAGAATCAAGGAAAAAATGTTTAATTTCTCGAAAAAAAAGTAATAGCTCTTTGAATTGAAAAATCTTTCATGACTCACACTTTTTCGGATAAAATATCCCAAAAATAGAAAACTGGGCGAATATTTTTTTTAAATTCCACTGAGAAAACTACAAACTGAGCTACTCATTTAATTCATTTACACCGTTACTCACCGTTTTCACTTTACGAATAAGAAAGCGCAATTCTTCTTGCTTTTCGCTCGCAAAAGCTCGCACGTGTATTTATTAAGAAATAAAGAAGCTCAAAAACCAACAAATTCCAAAAAAGAATCAAGGAAAAAACGTTTAATTTCTCGAAAAAAAGTAATAGCTCTTTGAATTGAAAAATCTTTCATGACTCACACTTTTTCGGATAAAATATCCCAAAAATAGAAAACTGGGCGAATATATTTTTTTAATTCCACTGAGAAAACTACAAACTGAGCTACTCATTTAAATCATTTACACCGTTACTCACCGTTTTCACTTTACGAATTAGAAAGCGCAATTCTTCTTGCTTTTCGCTCGCACGTGTATTTATTAAGAAATAAAGAAGCTCAAAAACCAACAAATTCCAAAAAAGAATCAACGAAAAAAACGTTTAATTTCTCGAAAAAAAAATAGCTCTTTGAATTGAAAAATCTTTCATGATTCATACTTTTTCGGATAAAATATCCCAAAAATAGAAAACTGGGCGAATAGTTTTTTTATTCCACTGAGAAAACTACAAACTGAGCTACTCATTTAAACCATTTACACCGTTACTCACCGTTTCCACTTTACGAATTAGAAAGCGCAATTCTTTTTGCTTTTCGCTCGCAAAAGATGGCACGTGTTTTTATTAAGAAATAAAGAAGCTCAAAAACCAACAAATTCCAAAAAAGAATCAAGGAAAAAACGTTTAATTTCTCGAAAAAAAAGTAATAGTTCTTTGAATTGAAAAATCTTTCATGACTCACACTTTTTCGGATAAAATATCCCAAAAATAGAAAACTGGGCGAATATTTTTTTTTTAATTCCACTGAGAAAACTACAAACTGAGCTACTCATTTAAATCATTTACACCGTTACTCACCGTTTTCACTTTACGAATAAGAAAGCGCAATTCTTCTTGCTTTTCGCTCGCAAAAGCTCGCACGTGTATTTATTAAGAAATAAAGAAGCTCAAAAACCAACAAATTCCAAAAAAGAATCAAGGAAAAAACGTTTAATTTCTCGAAAAAAAAGTAATAGCTCTTTGAATTGAAAAATCTTTCATGACTCACACTTTTTCGGATAAAATATCCCAAAAATAGAAAACTGGGCGAATATTTTTTTTTAATTCCACTGAGAAAACTACAAACTGAGCTACTCATTTAAATCATTTACACCGTTACTCACCGTTTTCACTTTACGAATTAGAAAGCGCAATTCTTCTTGCTTTTCGCTCGCAAAAGCTCGCACGTGTATTTATTAAGAAATAAAGAAGCTCAAAAACCAACAAATTCCAAAAAAGAATCAACGAAAAAAACGTTTAATTTCTCGAAAAAAAATAGCTCTTTGAATTGAAAAATCTTTCATGATTCATACTTTTTCGGATAAAATATCCCAAAAATAGAAAACTGGGCGAATAGTTTTTTTATTCCACTGAGAAAACTACAAACTGAGCTACTCATTTAAATCATTTACACCGTTACTCACCGTTTCCACTTTACGAATTAGAAAGCGCAATTCTTTTTGCTTTTCGCTCGCAAAAGATGGCACGTGTATTTATTAAGAAATAAAGAAGCTCAAAAACCAACAAATTCCAAAAAAGAATCAAGGAAAAAACGTTTAATTTCTCGAAAAAAAAATAGCTCTTTGAATTGAAAAATATTTCATGACTCACACTTTTTCGGATAAAATATCCCAAAAATAGAAAACTGGGCGAATATTTTTTTTTAATTCCACTGAGAAAACTACAAACTGAGCTACTCATTTAAATCATTTACACCGTTACTCACCGTTTTCACTTTACGAATTAGAAAGCGCAATTCTTCTTGCTTTTCGCTCGCAAAAGCTCGCACGTGTATTTATTAAGAAATAAAGAAGCTC